GATACAGTTATTCATGCAAACACATTAATTGGCGATGCTCCAGCCTATATACATTGTACTAGTAGATGTGGCTCTATCGCGAAGCATTCTGGGAGATAACTGATCGTCACGTTGTCGTATCAATTCTATTGGACGGTGCCGGGGTCAAAACACTTGCAATGAATAATTAATTACGTGACGTCATTTCGGGGAAGTCCCGATGAACAAATACAATTGACGCGTCACTTATCGTTAATGGCCCTACGTCGGTTCCAAGTTGTGGTTCATTGGCTTTGCCGACGATAGACAATCAATAACCGTTTCGTTCTTTGAGCCACCAAATACTTTAAAGGTAAGTTTTCTGGCGACACATTCACTGTTTTTTCATCAACACTTTATGGTATGTAATAAGCGTGATTGTGATCGAATATGAAACCAGAATATACATTTGTACTTATATATATACAAGCGACGTCGATATCGGATATACTATTAGTTCAGAAGATTAATTCCTTCTCAGATCACTAAATTCTGACGGTCTGATGCTGCATTATTGCATAACTCCCAGTCTTTACAATATCGTATCGGTAATGCACACAAACACACGGTCATACTAGGGACCACGTGGCAGTCTCGTACAACATTTGAACATGTCAATATCGCTGTTACAACCACAGTCCATCCACAGAAACTGTGGTTACAACATACAAGGTCGTCTAATTAGTAATGAAACTGTTTTGCGAATAAGAATGGAATTGAGTATATTATCAAAGCAAATGTAATACTGTACTCATACCAACCGACAATTGAACAGTCTCATTCCATTAAAAAGGCCATTAAAAATGAACGTAGTTTTTTCATTTTGGCACATTTTATAACACTCAGCCTTAGGTACATGATGATACGAGTCAGATTATTATATCAAAAATGAATATTATTGCCACGTCACGATTTGCTATAGCATTATTACATGTGGTGCATGGGTAGACAAACCTCGTGTTGTCTCTTGTCGAGTTGAGGCCCGTAAGGAAATCCCGACTATACTTTATTTCAACTGTTGGTTTCAGGTTGCTTCAAAGTGCGCTGACACTGACAACCGCCCATCTGTTACGTCATTGATTTTGCATTCCGCTTAAAAACAAAACGCACCCTTTTTACAATTGTAAGGAAGCCACAATGTTCGAAGTGGTTCTTTACATCCGCAACGACAGTTCAAGCGTCAACCGCCAATAGCGGATGAAAGACGTTTAGACATGTAAATAAACAGGCGTGTACCGGATACGTCATTTATCAATGACCTCTTACTGTCACTGCAATAGTGTTCCGAAAAGCAACGTTGCCATCTAACTTGCCTGACTGGTTTGCTATGCACGTCTCGAGATCTTTACATGATTAGAACTGGTTAGTTCAAACCACTTTTAAGAGGGTGCACCACTCGGCTAAATGCGGTCATTCACGAGCGTTATGACACGCGCCAGACCTCAGACAACTACTAGTAATAAATTTATTTCTGGTCTGAGGCCAGACCGTGGCACACCTGTGTCCTTACATTTCATACTGTGCCAGTACATATAGTTTTTTTTACATTTAGATAACCTTTATTATATAGAAAGGTATACGAATGAATGAAATAAATTGAACGGCAATGGCTTCGCGATCTGTCCAATCCCCCACTGTCAGTTTGAAGTTTCCTTTTCAAGTCACGTTGTTATGTAAAATTATAGTACGAATCATATTTGCAGTCCCTTCAACCGTCGGATATCCCGCAGTATCAAAATTAAAAATAGAAAAGGGACGATAAAAATACCCAGCAGCGGTTGGAATTGTACAGCTTGCGAACAAAATGAGGTTGGAAATGAGATGCACTTCCGACTTGAATGCAAATTGTTTGAATGAACGAACATCGAGTTACGCCCACATTTTAGAAACTACTCCCACTTTTTGCGAAACCACGCCCATGCGCGAGATATATGGCGACATTGACTGTTGCGCACATCAACGAATACCAGATGGGACGTTACCAAATTTTAATTAGGTATTTTTAGGTGATTGGAATTTATCGAAGGAGTCACCGACGATAATTAGTGCAAATCGCGCCCAGGCCAAACCTCATACTAGTACTTGTGATCTCCATTAGAAGAGCACATTGGATTGTGGGAAAATCAATGTATATCAACACAAATGTCGCACATGCGCGCGCGACGACCATCGTCCTTTAACCACAGGCGCTCGGAACGTTTCTTGGATAATAAAAAATGACCTAAAGTGGGATCGGCATAGTTAGTCAGTCGCCGGTACATTCCCCTACCAGTCATATAATAACACAAGTTAGGAAAGCGTTGACACCATGACATCGAAATTTCCCGAAAGTAACACGATTTTCCAAATTATATTTCGATCCGCTTCACAAAACTCAAGCATGATAACGATAGAAACTGTCGATCGACTTATATTACCTTTATTCGAACTAAAACGGGTTAAATTCTGTGAAAATCGAAACGCCAGAAAAAAAAAGGACAAATCCATCTACGCGGATATTTTGAAGCAGAGACCCGAGCATGCGCACTTCCCAAACATACTGCGTCATCAAAAACCGATGCAGATGTTTTTTTATATTGCGAACTATTAGCTGAATTTTTAAATTTTTTCAGGAAAATTCAATTTAAAAATACAACGTATAATGATACAACATACAACAATACAATATTTATTTTATAGACTATGCAGTACGCGCATACATGTTTGGGAAGTGGCACGATTGGCTGAACAAATTTTCTCATTTGCATAAATTAATAATCATGAGCAATGAAAAAAAGTGTTTTTTTTTTTCAGTATAACGGCCAAAATGGGCAAAATCATTTTCTCAATTTCTGACAACAGATTCTATGATGTCATACTTTACCCATAATCCTTTGCTTGGAAATCAAGATGGCTGACTACATAATACTGATGAAAAGTTGAATATCTAGAGAATGAAAAGTGATTTAAAAGAACTGTAAATTGTATTCTTCTACATTTGTGGAGCTTTTTCTTGAGGGGTCATTATGTTGTTTGGCTTGATGTTTTCTTTAATAGCAATTTACGAAATTCATTGATAATTCAGATTCACTTTGGTATTTCATTCTTGTACCTTTGCTCAAAATTGCAAATAACGTTTTTAATAACCTTTACCAGTTACAAATTACCTAATCAGTATACATTTCGAGAAATCACTGTGTGTTTGTGCATACGCAGTTTGAAATGGAATAATTTTGAATGCAATGAAATCACGCATATAATACCATCCGGCAAAATACTAGTAGCGCCAAACCGGTTGTCGGTTCAATTGTTATGCAATATACACAATTTTAGTGCTTATATATTTCAATCTAATGTTTTTATGTTTTGTTGAGGGTTATTCTGTAAATAGCTCACTGGAATTACCTTATATACTTGTAAAAGGGCTTCGACAATGACCTACGGACGACTGTAATTTGACCAGTAATTTATTGATCAATGCTCGTATCATTGTTTACACGTACCAAACTCTTCTTCGCATTATAATGCACACTAGCCTAACATGTAAAGGTGAGTGGCGCTCTCGCCGGCCGAACGGCATCAAAACTCAATTTGGAGCATCGAGGATGGCGCAACTCACGCGACCTTACCGTTAAAACAATGTACACACCATGTTAAATAATTTAAAAACAGAATCCACCCATCTGAACTCAATATGGAATGTTTTCTGTAAAATCCAGAAACTTTAGTAATCGCTGCTCTGTGGCCACTCTTTATGATGCATCGCTGTCACTAGTTGCGTTGTTACGAGTCTGTGCATTTCGATGACAGACGAATTCATACCGGCGATAAAAAACACGATATACCGTTGCAGTACTGAAGCTAATGACGCGTTATTAACAACTAACTCCGCGGGTAGATTTTGAACAATGTTTTTACGGCTGTCGCCAGGGTGCGATAACTTGAAGAATGGGCTCGATTAAGCAAAGATTTCAGTTTTTACACTGTGTTTCATTTGTATCGAGTTTGAAATCTGCTTTCTAAGTAGAGATTTTGGACCGACAGCATGTTTATACCGTCGGACTGCATTCTGAGTAACAAAACTGTTTGTAATGCGTCAATTAGTACTTAGTATTTAATATTACGATTATATTTTATGTCGGTGACCGTGTTTAATTAAAACAAATCCATACTATCGGAACTATAAACCCATTTTTTTATATTTTTTTTTTTATAAATGTTAACAATTAAAACTGAACAAGTGGTCCGTATCCTCCGATGGAATAACATTGGAACATTTTTAAATAGCACCACTTTGGGTACGGTGAAGTGTGAACAATTGAAGAAAGAAGAAAAATTGTTGTTGGGCCGTTCAAATATATTGAGACACGAATACGTTTTTAAATAATTAAATATGAATCCTTGAATTCAACGATTATTTCGCCATCAGCATCCGACGTTTGAGTTTTTGAAATTATGTCAGATTGGCCCACCCATTAAATTAGTGGTTATTATAATTTATTTTCTAGGTATGGCGGACAAAGGCGCGGATTTCGAGGATCACAATGAGAAGACAATGTACACTATTCAAGGTATTTATATTTTATGGTTGTGCATGGTACAATGCTTCGCTCCCTCCCGACTGCTTTTTTGTTGCAGCTGTGGTGATATTGTCCAAATGGACTAACAGTCGCGTTAAACTTGTGACCTTGTGTAGTACCACCTGTAAATCCTTTCAGTTTTACTAAACATATTATCTTCACATTTCAGATGCTTATACAGCAACCATACATGTCCTTGCTGACGATCTGAAGGCGGTGGAGTGTCGATTCCTAGCACGCAATATGGGAATATCTGATGTCACTATTGATGATCTTGAAAAAGACAATCCTGGCAAAACTCGAAAATTTAAGCGAGAACTATTACGTGTATGCTTGGCTAAATATAAGTTACCAAATGACGTCGATAAGGTAGCAGAGAAGATACTCATGATTGAAAGAACAGATCTGGCGGAGAAATTCAAGGATTTTGTTAAAGGTTAGTATTTTAATTGACATTCTCACACCTTCGAGACAGAATTGTCGTTTACAGCCTTTCTTTCGGTGCTGTCTCACGGATCTGAAGTTGTTTTTAAAAAGAACAGGGAATAAATGCAATACCGAGCGAGAATGGTTGTAGGCCGCGTTACAGCGAGCGCAAGATTAGTCTGATCGTGAAAACTCTCCCTATCAATGTCCTTTGGAACATTGTTCTGACAACCGCTGTACAAATACTGCTATTGTTAATAATAATTATTGCACCATTGCTTGACTAAATTGAACTCTGTATTTGGGTTTGTCTGCACTGACATCAACCCACACAAACTGACATTAGACATCTATTGACATATTAAATATGGTAATTGATAAATGGGTGGGGTTACGGTAAATCAAATGTACAAACTGTGCTTACATCGTCAGTTTGGAACTAAAATTGTTTCCAGGATGTTTATGTGGTTTTTAAGTATATCCAAAATTAAACAAAACAAGAATGGGTTGCTGAATTGTTATTATACAGTATCTCACTTTTAATTAAAGTATTGTGTTGGTTCTTTGAATTTTTTACCTGTACACATAGTGTATCCCAGTTTAATAGAAATTTTGTGAAATCGACTATCATTCCATCAACATCTTTCTTTGATATAATGTGTCGTCTAATTGTCCACTCATTATTTATTTGGTTATTGTAATTTATTTTCTAGGTATGAAAGACAAAGGCGCAAGCTTTGACGTCCATGAAGAGAAGGCCACATACACAATTCCAGGTATTTATATTTCACCATTGTGTCATAGTACAAAATAAAAATATGTGATTTAATATAACTATTTTAGACGTCTTGCAAGACAATTATTTTTTATAATAGTTACTCGTTTGGTCGAATATACATGAAGTACAGACAAATGGCCCAGACTGGTGATAGCCCTCCTTAATTGTATATTGGGTGGTACAATGATATTCATGAACATTTTTAGTGAGTTATCAGTCATGAGTGGTGCATATTAAGTGATAGATGACTGATCTTTTGCAATATATGCTTTTTTTTTGATGTTATGGAAAAGGAAAAATACAATCGTGATATATTTGTTGGTAATTTGTACTTTACATGGACACCTATAATAAATGTATGTATCTGTATTGCCTTTTCAGTCAATTGCCATGGTGTTGATAGTCTACCACAAGAATTTGTAGATAGACCAGGTGACATTCAGAAGCTTGTAGATATGATTACGAATTGTGATGGTAAACCACTTGGTATTATAGATCAACATGCTGCCAATCAGACGACGTGTCCCTACTCGTATCGAGCTTCGCCAATTGGTATTGGAGGAGGTGGAGGCATTGGTAAAACTACTTTAGCTTTAGCATTAGCACAACATGTCAATCGAAAGTTAAAAAAAGAAGTAGTATGGCTGACTGTGTCTCAGCAACCAGATATTCTGTCCCTTTTCAATACTATGTATTTTTATTTGACTGGAGAAAAGGGTATATTTCAAATGAAAGAAGTGCTAAAGATTGGCTCAGAGAATTCACAAAAACAAAAGAAATGTTTTTAGTTCTTGATGATGTTTGGAATGTAGATGATGTGACACCATTCATGATGCTTGGTCCAAAGTGTTGTATGTTGATAACAACTCGCAATGAAAAGGTTTTGACTTGCCACAATGCCAAGACGTATAAACTAGGGAAGCTTGATGCAGAACAATCCCGAGCCATGTTTCTAAAGTATGCCAACACTGACGAAGACTTTATTAAGCAGTTTGAACTCGGGAAACAGGTCAATGAATTCCTAGAGATTCTGAAGAATTATCCACTGGCTATTACATTAATTGGATCAGCACTCCGTACCACAGGCATACATGTAAATACAGGAAAGGTGCAACGAAAATGGAAACTGAGACTTAAACAGCTTCGCACAAGAAACACCTTTTGGGAAAATCAAGCAGACCAGTTGAAAAATCCCAACTACAATCATACACTGTTGGGAGCATTTGATGTCAGTTATAACTTCCTTGGTAACGAATTAAATTCTGATGCACAGAACGTAATACAAAGAAGATTCTTGGATTTTGCACTTTTTCCAGATGATACAAATGTTCCGTTCAATGTACTTCATAAATTATGGGTAGATGGTGATGAAGACCAACTAGAAAATGATTTGGATATTTTAACAGAATCATCGCTAATCAGTTGTACCACAAATCAAGATGGGAAAGAGTCTTATAAAGTTCATGACTTGGTTCTACAGTATGCTCAGCATAAGTTTGAAGATGTTCTTGGAAAAGGGTCATTATATCAAAGACAATGTTACCTTATTGATCAGTATAGGGATGACTGTAACAGACAAGACTTAAGCTGTCCTAAACAACCTAATTCTCTCCATGAAATCCACGCAGAAGACGGCAAAGATGACGTGTTTCCTTGGTGGAAGATACACAGTGATGGATATATCTACACACATCTGGTTCATCATTTAATGAAGGCTGGGTTTGACAAAGAAGTTAGACTGCTGCTAATTAGTTATCAGTGGATTAAGACCAAACTTACACATACTGATATAGCTTCTGTGATTTCTGACTATGAGCAATACTTTAAACTCAAGTATGTTGATGAAAGCACAGACATAATGTATGCAGCTCTTACATTTACTGCACCAGTAGTTGCAAAGCATAATGACCAGCTGCCAAACCAGCTTCTTGGGTCATTAGTTGATGTTGATAACCCTGAAGTAAATGTAATAGTTGAACAAATTAATAATGATCTGAAATCATCAAAGTCCAATTGTTTATTGCCTTTAACATCGTGTCTTACACAACCTGGGGGTTACCTGAAGCGGTCAATTGGAGACAACAGGGCAACTGTTCTATGTGTAGGATTCACCCATGACAACAAGCAGATATTGGCAGGATTCGGAACAGGTGGATACAAGTCAGCTCATGTGTTAGTAATTGATGTTGCAACTGGAAGAGAGAAAATATTAGGGAAAGAGGTTGACCATCACAAAGGACTAGTATTTGATCTTGCAATTCATCCCAAAGACATGTTTGTGGTGACTGCTTCTTTTGATCACACACTTAAGATTTGGTCTCTTTACAGCGACTTTGAGAAAGTAAAGACATTAACAGGACATACAGGCTACCTATACTGTGTTTCAATGTCAAGTGATGGCAAATTTGCCGTATCTGCTGGCCAGGATAAAACAATCAAGAAATGGAACTTGAAGAAAAATGTGTGCACTTTGACAATTGGTGGGCATGAGGGAACAATTCGCCAAGTTTGCATAACTAGCCAAGGTGATAAGGTAATTTCTGGATCAGAAGATGGAAAAGTGAGAGTATGCTGCCTTGATAATGGTACTATACTTCATGAGTATGATTCTCATGTACAACTTGTGTTCTGCATAGCTGTGACTCGTAATGATAAACAGGTGATTACTGTTGGTACTGATAATGCAGCAAAAGTCTTGGATCTAGAGAGTGGCCAGTTGCAATTTGAGCTTCAAGGTCATTGTAAAGAAATTATCTCTTGTACAACATCGAAAGATGACAGACATATTTTCACTGGTGGAGCTGAAGGTGTGATTCGTATGTGGTCACTCCAGAGTGGTACTGAAGAACGTGTATTCCATGGTCATGCTGAACGTGTTAGATATATAGCTATTTCACCAAATGGGAAATTGATGGCATCAGGTTCTGAAGACTGTTCACTGAAGATTTGGGATTGTGACATAGACTCCAGTAAGATTGTGCCGAATCAACAAGGTCACACATCAGCTGTTAGTGCTATTGCATTGTCTGCCAATGGCAAGATGGCTGCTACAGCATCACATGACTCCACTGTACGAATATGGGATTTGGCATCATATTCATCCATCCATACCCTATTTGGCCATTCAGATATTATAAGCTGCATAACAATAGCAGATGCGTTGTCATGTGTGATATCTGGTTCCAGTGATAAAACTATTCGTATATGGAATATGAAAATTGGAGAGCTTTGTGGAGAACCACTGATTGGTCATCGGTACATGGTAACAGCAGTGCATGCCACAACATACAAGGGGAAAGATATTTTACTTTCTGGTTCCTGTGATAATATTATAATTTTGTGGGATATCAAATGCAAGATTCAGCTTTATCATCTGATTGCTGATTCATATAACGTTATGAATTTGTTCTCGTCCAGTTACTCAGAACAACCTTGTTTACAGATTATGGCAGCTTTCCGAGGAAGTGTTTGTAAATGGGAATTGTCTCAGTTACAAGATAATTCTTCTGTTCCTAAACTATATCCAGTCCACAACCATTGCCAATTACAGACCCCTAACTATCCAGCTATCCCTCACACAGTTCAGAATGGTTTTATTGTTGGATGGGAAGAGATGAGCAGAATTCGGTTCTGGGATTTGGATAATGATATAGATTCAAAGATAGTCAGTGGACATGATGACTTTGACATTGTGACTTCATTACACTTGAGCCAAGATGGTGGCATTCTTGTATGTGGTAGTCAACATGGCTTTTTGAACATTATTGGTTTATGCAAAGCAGGCAATCCAATGGGAAGACTGCAGACTCCTGATAACATGACATCCCCTGTTACAGCAATAACTGCATTACAGTCGGATGATCATGATGCAATGTTTTTCTTTGCTGGATTTCACAATGGGATGATTCTAACATGGGAGACAAATGATAAGGCTCGTGTTTATGAGTGTGGAAAAACTCCCGCAAAAAGTCATGAAAATGGAGCGCTGACGATTAGTAATGGGAAAAACGTTGGACAAGGATCATCCACTATAACTAATCTAGTTGCATACACTGAAGACAAGACAGTGAAACTTCTCTCCACTGGACTGAAACAAGACGACACATCAATTACAATATGGGATGTGAATGCTGGGAAACGTATCCACCAATTATATGGCCATACTGATATTGTGACATCTGTATGTATGACCAGTCACGTGAATGTCATGTCTAGTTCACTTGATGGCTCTGTGATATACTGGGACTTGAAAACAAATGGTCATCAGTGTTACAAATCTCCAGATGCCATCACGTGTCTTGCTGTTACAGCTGATAGTAATAATTACATTATTGGTTCTAAGCGCAATGTCATGGAGGTACATGAAGTAACTACAGGGGAACTTCTGAAGTCATTTTCTTTGGGATCAAAGTTCAACATGAAGAAATTGGCACTGTCTGTAGATGGAAAGCATGTGAACTGTTGCTATGATGACCATACTGCTGAAACACGATGTTTGAATACTGGGAAGCTAGTGTCTGATATGGTTGGTCATCAGAATGAATGGGGAAATATTTCAAAGTGTTCTGGAAGTGACATGGTAATAAGTAATAATACACACTGCAGAGTGAACTTGTGGAATCCAGCCACTGGCGAATCATTGGCAACTATTGGTAGTAGTCATGGTAACTCAACACAGAAAGTTGCATCATCCAGAAGTCCTGCAAATAAAAGTACAGGGCATCGACGTATGATAACAGCAGTGCATATCAACAAGGATCTCATTCTTACAGGGTCATATGATAAATCTCTGAATATCTGGAAAGTTGTAAAATCTCAAAACTGCCAATCAGTTCTCATAGATAGCTATTATTTTGAGCATGCTGTCACATCTATTAATATGACACAAGACAATGTCATTTGTATTGGACTTCTGAGCGGATTGGTCTGTTTTATTCAGATGAAAGAAGGTGCGTAAGTCAGTACAGTACTTCAATTCGCCAGTATCTTGTATACACGCATACCGAGTTCTTGGACAACTGTCAGAAGCTACTTTGTCAAATTCTTCAAATTACCATTGTTTTCAAAGCTTGGACACTGATTTTGAATACATACCCCTTGTACATGCATGTATTTTTTAGTCATAAATTGATGGTGACCATAAATTGAGTAATACTAGATTATTAACATCCCTTTACTGATCAAAGTCGTAGTATTGTGATATGAACGTTCAATCTATTATTATAATTAATAGCTACATTATACTGTCATGATGACTGTGAATTATTTACTTTTCTGACTATCGAAACACATTCCTGGTGTTTATTGCAGCTGCGCCTGATACTCTCTAATCTGGGACAACTACTTTCAGATATTGGTCAAAAATGGAGCTTATATGCTATTAAAGCGGGAGGGTTGTTTCATGCGCACGCACGGGAACTGAGTCCCAAGCGACGATAACTGCACATGCTATAAACGTAAAGGCTCATGGGCAGATGCTTGTTTGTAAACAATGACACGCTATGGCCATCTGACGCATGCGCAGGTAACGACTCCCCCGCTTTAAGCTTTGTACGTTTCCTGATGCTGATCATAGCTGATGTACCGTGTCCCCAATCTCCAATTTTCACTTGTCTCTATAAATGTACTAGTCATAACAATATGTTTAAATAACATTTGGCAGATGTTCTTTTCAAGTAGTATATAATATGTGAATGATGTCAAAACACAGATTTTATACCCCATTTGAACACCTTTATATAAATAAAAACCTAGTGTGAGGTTCAATACTGTGTGTACTAGTACAATATTAATTAATATTCATAAACCTGTCATTGCTCACAAGATGAACTGACGTATGTGTTAGTATTTACCCATTTACGTATGCAAAATAACATCGTTAAATATAAAGTTTGCCCTATTCTCCTGGGTTTATGGTTATGATGGATATCATATATTTCTTTTTATATTTATCACATATACATGTCAGTAACAGATATGTTTGGAGGAATATTTTTTAATGGTCACAGCTGAGGTCAATAACAAATGTTTGGAAGAATATTTTCTGACATTGATCACAGCTGAGGTCAATAACAAATGTTTGGAAGAATATTTTCTGATATTGATCACAGCTGAGGTCAATAACAAATGTTTGGCAGAATATTTTCTGATATTGATCTTAGCTGAGGTCAATAACAAATGTTTAGAAGAATATTTTCTGATATTGATCACAGCTGAGGTCAATAACAAATGTTTGGAAGAATATTTTCTGATATTGATCACAGCTGAGGTCAATAACAAATGTTTGGCAGAATATTTTCTGATATTGATCACAGCTGAGGTTAATAACAAATGTTTGGAAGAATATTTTCTGATATTGATCACAGCTGAGGTCAATAACAAATGTTTGGCAGAATATTTTCTGATATTGATCACAGCTGAGGTTAATAACAAATGTTTGGAAGAATATTTTCTGATATTGATCACAGCTGAGGTCAATAACAAATGTTTGGAAGAATATTTTCTGATATTGATCACAGATGAGGTCAATAACAAATGTTTGGAAGAATATTTTGTGATGATGATGATGATAATGATTACTGCCGAGGTTAATAACATAGGATTTAACAATACATGTATAGATTCCAGGTTTGGTTTAGCACTGCCACAAATTGGTGACCCTGGAAAATGCCCCAGGGTTACTTCTGTCTAATTCAAAACACATTTCACCATAGTGTAATGTGCAATTGGTAGGGTTGATAATCTCATTCGAGTATAGCTATTTATTTCTAATTAAATGGTCAACATTTTATCACAAATGTGTTTATCAATAAACTGATGTTTTATGTGTCACTATTATAATGTATTATATGTATCTTGCCTGTAAATAATGCTTCTTTATTTAAATAAATCTGTGACTTTCATTAAATGTTTGTGTATTGTCTCTATTGTGAAATTGACGCCATTGATTTTCGTTAAATATTCATATGTTGTATTTCTGTGTGACCACCATGACCTCTCATTCGAAATGTTCATATGATACACCGTATGAGATACCGCCAGATAATAACAACTCGCACAAATTTGGTTACCTAGTTTGTTATAAAATTTACTACTTCTGTTCAAAAAATTACTAACAAATTACTATCGGTTTGAGATAATCTAACGGGTGACATCGCTTCCAATGAGTTTGTGCGTGTGGTGTTTGTTTGCATTGAATTAAGATAACTGTTCCTTGGTTTAATATTTTGACAAGGTGGCTGAGCATGTTAATATGAAAGTACTTATGAAAGTACGAATTACTATCGCCACGATTACCAAAACGTTAAAAAACTGCCAGCAAATAAATAATAAATTAAAACAAAGTAAAAGAAAGTGTATGATAAAAATGAATAGTTAAACAATATATTTTGAAAAAATGAAGCCAAACTAGGATGTTATTTTAATCAGATTGTTTACAGCAAATGTCCTTCAAAGATGTTTGTAGGTTGGAAGCCATACTACCGGCAACACCCGGGCGGAGTGAAACGACTACTCAGCTTAGCCATCGATGGTGAGTGTAAAATAATAATATTGTGATTGTTTCCCTGATAAGCGATAAGCACTCCGCGATGATGTTTACAAAAGTTCAACAATGTTTGCATTTTCATTTTGAAAACAGTCGACATACGTCAGCCAACCTGAGGGCGGGCCTGGCATATTGGGTTTGGGGTTCGGCGTAAACTTACAGCTTTGGTTTGCAAATAAAACAGTATGAGCTTAAACATTTACCTCCCCCCCCCGATATAATCACGTATTATCATGATTTTTCAGAGCGAACGCGATCCAGACGTCGCCAGCAAGTTAATTTTGAGCTTCTTTGGCCTCCACATTTTAATTGTATAGTCTCCTCTTCAGGACGTAGTTTTCTTGAGAGACATATATGCAATTACATTTGGGGGCTGGAGTGTTAACATTAGGGTTTAGATTAGAAATGGAGGGTCTTAAAGAACTCTTTCCCTGTTTTCAACTGTTTCGTTAAAAGGGCTAAATTACATCAGCATCCTAACAATAATGTAATCTTATTTCATTTTCATGTTTATCAGCTGATTTACCTATCATGTCTTAATAGGGTGATATCGTGAAAATTGTAAATATATGCAGCAACACAAATTAAGTCATCCACAATCTACATATGAAAACAAGTAATAAAATATATACTCCAATCCCTAATAATTGTCTTTGTATATTTGAATGCATATTACAACTGTTAACGGAATTAAGCTGAATTGCGAGAAACCTTGTACACATGTGATCGGTACCTTCGTTGAAAATAAGAACAAATATATATTGAACACGATAAATACCCGTCCCCACTCACTCACGAACGAGTGAATATCGTGTTTACTATTTGGTTGTTCTCATTATCAAGGAAAGGTACCGAACGCCTGTGTAGTAGTGTAAACACAATGCGAGTGACCTGCACGGGCAAAGCGAAACATGGCTGTAATTCTTGTTGCCATATAGAAGTCTCTTTTTGTTTAAGCGAGAGCGCTTACAATGCTACACAATTATTTAGGTCAGGTGGGTTAAGGTGAGTGCATACTACGGTGGTTCATAAACACAATCCGCAACTAACAATTATATTTCAACGACCTTCGCAAAGACGTTTCCTTACAGTACACACGTTTCTCTGTCTTATATTTAACTTTTGGAAGTTGTATTATATACTTCGGTACAAAGTTCAAAGCCTATAGTTTTACACAAACTACTTACAAATACATGGTTAAACTGAGTGTGCGCTGTTTCCTGAAGTGTTTGTAGATGGTCAACAAGAATAGTACATACTTTAAAGGGGCAACATTTATCGAGTAACATTCTAATTGTTGATTGGTTAAAGTGTGTATCATATAGCACGGCCACGGCTACATCCTGTCAAAATTATAATAATTTATACAATACACAATACTTATCATTGATTTCGGATTGCAGTTACGGATCACCGTATATATGGCCGTTCATTGATTGGGAACTGAAACAGTCACGTACCAGTCTGTTGTAGCACACATTCATTCGAGTTACACCCGAAGGTAAGTAGCTCGTCAGAATAATTTTAGATAATTCAAAATAACTTGTAGCTGTCTGATGCATAAATAATTCGAAACAATTATTGGTATATTTGTATTGTTTAACGAATGTTATCGGAACGTTTTAATGATCAAAACGACCATTGACTCGTTATAGCTAACCATGAGCCCCGGGCATTAACAGGTCGGTGAACCAGATCGAAAAGTTCCTTCATGTGTTTATCAGCCGGTTTATTTTGTAAAGCCTAGGCAATGTGTCATTTGTTATTGTGGAATTTTGGTTAGGCCACACTGATTTAATTTTATGAATGACATCCTCTGGAGACCCCAAAACTAATGCGAGAGAGCGAAAAAATAATCCTGCTAAAACAACAGGACTACGGAGCTTGTATTACGAATTGAACCACAGAACACAGTGTATCAAAAAACACAACAAGTCTTTATTTGTAGGAGGCACATGTTGATGTACGCATCTCGTACTGTATTACTGTCACAGGTATAACCATTGAAATGAAGCCTACATGTTAACCCTACAAATATGTCTAATGTTTCATGTCTAGGGATCTCAGCCTCAAGTATCAGAAAAAAAATGATCTCTTGCACTCCTGTATACCCCACACATTGATCTCTTCAACAATAGGTCCTTTCTTCCTTCTCAGCTATCACATCCCTAGGCCACCATACACCTCCACTCCTATCCCATTTCTCTCATCGTTGCATCGCGGGACAGCCACTCTGGACAATATGTCCTTATAGCTGTGTAAACGTCACATCTCCCTGGCCGACGTCAATTGCGTACCAGTCTACAACAATCCCTCCGTTTTCCCTCTGAACTTTTATGCTCACGTATTTTGGTGGCGTGGTCGCCATGTTGGAATTCCCGGCAACACAGTACGCATGTGCAGAAGATCAT